TGACAGAAAAACGTGCGAAAAAAAAACTAGGAAAGCTATAGAAATCACCCTGAAGCCAAACAGAACAGCACTGTGTACTGATAGACTAAAAGAAGTGTGAGCCAGAGCCCCTCATCTTTGCTTTCTTCCTACGGCTCTAGCCTTTTCAATGTGACATTTTGTGCTTTGAACTTTGAGGACATAAATCCAAAACATATCCTCACTCAATACGCTACTCAGTATTTTCTCAAAGAAAACGAAATATAACAACAAAGTATCACAAAGATTGACATATCCTTGAGAAAATTCCCAGCTATGAGATTGTAGCTTTTTCACTACCAAATCGAAATGTAGATTTGAAAAGTACAAATTTACAAAAAAAGACTCTGCATTTAGTTTTGTACTCGTAGTCTTTTTGTGGATTAACCCCGCAACTCAAAGAACACTTTAGTCAGGGGAATTGTCTCCACAAACGCAAAACTCATTTACCTGGGAAGAGAACTTCGCAGATGGATAGGCTTATTCGAGAAAACTCTTAAGTCGTAACGAAAGCAGTCCAGGTTGGGGTAAATACGCTCAACTTTACTTAGAACAAGTCAAAGACTTAGCATCAGAAAGCCATATGGGAAACTTGGAAAAAAAAGCTGCGCCGTCAAAACAAGAAAGATTTTATGCGGGTAGACCAAAGCCATCTAGGTCTTGATTCAGAACATAGCCGCAAGGGGTAAAGTCGCACTCATCGCAATAAGTGCTCCACCCAACGAGTCGACGTCGGACACTGCCTACTGGCCGGATTTAGTAAGCCATCAGACTTTATTGTGCAGTTTTTGTGACAGCTAATGGAAAGCTGTCACAAAACTGCACAATAAAATACAAAGGCCTATTAGATGCACAAGAAAACCCAACAGCTGCACAGAAAAACACATCGTTTGCCCATGTAAGGGATTAAGGAAGGGTCGAGAAGTGGTTCATCATGAGCTACTCAGTCTCATGTCACCATCAAGCACAAGTCTGGCCATCAACCTCCCATCAAAGACTTATGGTTGGTTTGCCAAAGTCAAACGCCTCTATAGAACCCCAAAGTAAAACTGTAAACCACCAAAATCGACAACAACTGAGTTCTCCCGTACCCAAACCTAGTGAAACCTCTCGGGCTCCTGGATTTAGGGTCTCATACAAAACGATCTTCCTCGGCTGCCGATTCCAGTTGGCCGGCTGCCAAGTAAGGCAACCTTTGCGACAACACCGAAGATCTAACAATCTTGGGTAACCCTACCGGGCTATCGAAACCGACAGTACCCAAGGTCATACCACCATTCATCACAATCCTTATGCCACACATCAAACACCTATTCGTAGCGGATTAGTCCGAATGTTTCCGCAGCAGCTCATCCAGACCAGGATGGATTGTTGCAATTTAGCTCATCGCAACGGTAGTCAACTAATCCTGCGTGACACACGATCCCTTCTCCTCGGCCTCCGCCACTCTCTCCCTGACGGACGGTTCACTCGGTCTTCGTCTTAATCCCACATCAATAGCCGCATTACACACATCCATACACACACATCCGAAGCGCCTGATGATCATCCCGAACGCAATAAATACAACTGCATTACAACGACGCCTAGGACGACGATAATGGATGCCATTGGATCTGCTTTGAGTGACATCAGGAAGTTGATGTGAGCTATGGCGCCGCCGAGGAGGTCGAACAAAAAAAAAGAACGACAAGGAATAATCCCATCGGGCAAAGATAGATTGAAGACCAGCGAGGGAGACTTTCTTTTATTCCTCGAAAGTGGTGATTAATGGAGAAGGAAGTGTGCAATTTTACGTCGAAGATGTTGAAAACAGTCACAAAGCTGCACAATTCTGCACAAAACTGACTTCATACCCATATTTAAAATTGCACGATTGTACGGTTTAGAATATCGCATCTCTTACTTCGAAAACATTCATAGAAAACTTTAATGTTGATTGCACCCTACATTTTACAAGGAAATTTCAGGCCGAGTAAGCGAAAACGACTTCCACAAAATTGCTCAGGCTACGTCAACCCTAGAGTTGAGATCTGTAACCCTGAAAAAGGGCGTGCGTAGGGAAACAAAGAGATGGACCGTGTTTCCTCCGGAAGCTTAGATAACAAGGGTTTCCAGGGCCTAGTCGCCTATTCCCCAGCACGGCCTAACGTAAAGCTCAAAACGTTTCGAGATTTTGCTTGGCTGTGGCCAGTGACTCTGTGCCTTGAGGCATCATCCCGCTGTGACTGCTATGACTCGCGCGTAATCGCTTCTTTTTCACTAGGTAAATAAGGCCCCCCATGCGCTAGACTGGTTGCTTGAGTAGTTATAGCAACAGTGGGCCGGATTCCAGATGGCTTTACCTTCCGCATGTCCGGGGACCACATTCCTACCCCCTCTGTGTCGGGCAAAACTGGTTAGTCCTGTAACCCCAACCCTATCCTAGCCCTCCAAAAAGTCCCCATCGCTCTTCTTTGAGGGCACGTCTATTTTCACTCCGCTCGTGTAGAAATGACCCTCGTAGAGCTTCCACTCTTAAGATGGAATGAACTAGAAAGGAATCTCTTGAACTGTTGACTGCCAGACAAAAACTATTCCCTGGTAAACCTCTTAGGAATTTGTATCTTCGTCATCCGTTATGTTTTTCCGCCGACAATCATCGCCTTATGCGATTAGAAACTTATCACAGATTTCGCTACTGATCAGAGTTTTTGTTACGCCAACATCTCACGTAGAATTATTCATTACGCAATGCTTGCGTGAAATATAACCCTACCAGATTATTTTCATTAAGTAAGTATTGGCGTAATTAATAATCCATTACGTAGTTTAGACAGCCAACAAAGATAATCTCTAAGCTTTGATCGCTCCAGAAAAGGGAAGTGATAACGACTGTTCACTGACCAACGCGGCGTTCTAAATAAGGGCAAACCCGTCAATCTGAGGGGCAGAATGACAGAAGCACTTACGAAAGCGCATCCCGGACCAACCCCGGTTCACTGCACTTTGGCAAGTTCCTGACCATCTGGGATCGACCATAACAACTATGTTTTGCGAAAACACAACCTTCTGTACTGCGGTAACCAGTTTTAAATAATAAAAGTTAACCATAAGTCATTTTTAGGGCAGTTTGCAGAGCAACCGTTTTTTCAGCCAGCATGAACAACCCAAAACAACCGCACCGGTGCTGACACTCAACTGCGAACTTGAAACAAGGTGCCTCCAGGATCATATGCTCCTCGCTAACGTCGCTCCGTGAAGACGACCACCAGCAGCCGGCGGCTTACAGCTGTACACAATTCTCGAAGGGTTTTTGCGAGAGAGAGCTATAGCGAGGGTGAAGGATCAACAAAGGCTTAAATAATAGCCATAACAGTGAATTTAAACAGGAAACTCTAACATAAACAGCTGGCTTGAAGTTCGTCGAGTTCAAACACAGCCTTCATGTCAAAGTCTCCTTTTTAAACACACAATTGCAGCCATTATTCAAAGCTTTGTTGATCCTTCACCCTCGCAATAGCTCTCTAACAAAAACCCTTCCGAGAATGTCAGCTAAGAGCGCTCTGAGTTGTCTCTTCTGCAGAGCTCTTCAGTCGAGCTGCCGCTATGTTTTCCTTCCGCTGCTGACTCATTGCCTCTCAAAGCCGACCGCACCCTTCTCTCTCGTGTCTCTTTTCTCTAGCACAACTCATTACGACGAGCACACAAGCTTGACCACTTTTTCTCGAATGCCACTCAATCGTCACAGCAGCAACTGCAGCAGCGTCGGCAACAGCCACAGCCAGTCACGCGGCTCTTCTGCCATCGAAGCGACCGCTGTTCTCGTCTCGACTTCTCGCACGTTGTAATAAACATTACAACAGAAAATGAACAACACACCCTGATAATACGAGCAGATGGACGCGGCGGGAAACGGCCACGCACGGCATCTTTTCCCTTGACATTTTCAAACTAAGCGTTTAGTTTATTTAGGCCTTGAAAAAACGGAAGCGGAACGTGATGAATATGGGTGGCACTGGCTAGCGAACAGGACAGGAAGCCGTTCGTTTTGGAGAATATCCGTTAAGCGAGGCGTACTGGCGTACTCTTGACATGACATTCTCTTCATCCGCAAGACCACCCATCAAGAAAACTCGCTTGGAGCTCTCCGAGCTTTTACGAACCGATTCAGTAATGGTATCCCTCGCAGAAATCCGATTAGCTCGGCTGTGCTGACTAGTCAGTCGCCTTGGCAATGGCTTGCCTTTCGTGTCACCGGGCATGGCTTCATTTGCTCACGACGGAGCCTTGAGGGCCAGAAGCCTAAGGCCAGAGGGCCAGATTTGGACATGCCGATGCCCGAGCTGGCGCAAATTGACAACAACTAATAGACCGAGGTGAAAGTTTGCCCACCCTCTAATCGATCCAGCCGGGAATTTCCCGCAGACAGTCAAGAATTGAACTATGCTTTCGTAATCCAAAGGTGTTCAAACAACGTGCAAAAAATGTCCCATAACAAAACCAGAAATAGAACCGAATTGCCCACGATAAAACATCAATGAGCACACGCCACATTTCTGATGCACACAGCCCTGAAAAACAGCCGAACGACCAGCCGGTTTAGCTACCGCTGCAGTCAATTGAACTGAGTGGCAAAAACGGCTTGATTGACTTGAATTGCCTCCAGAACGACTATTATAAAAGAAAGCGGCCGGCTTTGGATGATATATTGTATGCACTTATCGCCACCAGAACTTTTAAACCCTCTAAGCTTCGAAACCCTAGCCTTATTCGCTAACTTAACACTGGTCAATCAAATTGCCTAGTGCATTGATTGATCCAATATGCCTTTTGAGGAACCTGCAGTGCGAAAGCGTTGGTAGAGGTTGCATTTCTTAGCAACGTCAGCAAACTAAAGCACTCAGTCCACACCTTCGCTCTGCGGACTCAACGAACTAATCGATACCTATCTTTTCCACAAGTTATCGAAAAAAAGTATGAACACATCGCATAAACTCACATTCAGCAGACGTGGTATGCGGTTTCGAATCCGCCGACAACGGTGTGTGCGGTGTTTGATGTGCTGCACCCGGTGGCGTCACAACACCAAGCGATAGACTTGGCGTACATGTGGCAGACGAGTCAGACTTCGCAATTCCAATAATGCCATTACTGAAAAATTGAAAATCAATATGAAAAAATTAATCAATTCGATTGAAAATGACAAAGCATTTAAAACTTCAAAATGGAAAAATCGATATATTCGAAGGTGATCAATCCATTCCCTTTTTGGTAACTGGAATGACTTTGAAAAGCTATGTCGCGCCTGGTCGCCGGTAACTAATCAATAATCTGGATGTAACCAATCGATAACTAGGAATGGAAGGGTTAGTTGTGGCGGATTTCGTAGAAAAATATTTCTAACAAAAAATAGTACGATGGGTAAACCGTTTTAATTTCCGACTAAAACGAGGTTCCAAGCCGACCGACGGTGTGGCAGGGATCAGTGTAGAAACCCTTGCAGGTTCTTGAGGGGTTAGGACAGAGTTCGACAGAGTTCGTCCAGGTAAGGCGCATTTCCAAGTTCGTTGACGGCATAAATACCAAGCACACAAAAGACTCAGCCCGAAATATTCATTGTAAGGGCCAAAAATGTCGCGCCACGATAACCCCGACTTTATACGTGAATTTTAATATTGACACAGCTCGGCTAGCATTACCCAGACTCAACCCTGCATTTTACCACTCAACCGTGCATAACCTTTGTCTCACTTCCGCGGGATACCTGCAGATTAACACTCGTGTTCCCCGTGAGGACTTTCAATATTGTTTGCGTGCCTTAATCTTGTCCCAATCCTCTTAACCCGTATAGCACCCTGTTTGCCATCACTACAAACTACCCTTCGATGATCCGGTGTTATAATGACGTCGCATTTGAAGGCACACTGGCCGAATAGGGCTAGGAGGAGGGCACGTACTCCACGGGATATCAATCTTGGGCACTTCCATGAACTCGCTCCAAAACATCCATTGAGTGGGCGCGAGCTCCATTGCGCATTCCCTTGACACTACTTCTTCTCGACAACAAGCACTCCTCACTGAGGGCGGAGATCACCGCAGAAGCACATTCTGCCTCTGTCCGCAATCCTTCAACTGTCATGTGCAGCGACGAGCGGCCACGAACGAGAGCACATGACGCAAAAACACAACATTCAAACGCACGCACATTCACAGACATTCTCGCCGACGCTGTAAAAACTCGCTGCCGAACAGACGCCTCCACGGCGCGGATGTTAAAAAAAAGTCGTTGGCCAATTGCCAGCCGTCCAACAGCTGATCGCTCGACGATCACCTGTTCGTGTTCGATTCACTCGGGCAAACTCGCTCGCTCACACTTCAACTAATCACTTCACACTGAGTTTAAAAACAGGTTCCACCTGGCACGTTCAACCAATTCACATTCCATGCCATGGCTGCTACACTGCGGTCACATCTGCGAATCATAGTACGATTCGAACTTTACACAACCAACCATGGATATCGATTGGCTCCTTAACCTCCTAACAAACCCGATGATGTGACACGAAAAAAATATTGAGCCCCATTCCGGCAAAATTCTAGCCTTTGAGCTTCGTCCCGGGTTCCAGAATTTTCAGCGGCCACAAATCTTTCCTATTCATCAAAAAGATCCTCATAACACCTCCGCTCGCAGATCGCAAGGCTATTTACCCCACGCGAAGAAACGGCGCTCTCGCACGGGAACGAGGGCACAAACACCCACGAACAGCCAATTTTGTGCAGTGTTTATGTGCCCTTCGTTTGCACTGGTCACAGCCTTCGACCATTAAAGATTGCGCCATTTAGCCCGAAATCATCTGGCCCTAAACTCAAAAGGATTTCCATAAGCCCTTGAGAGTAAGGGTGCCAACTCAAATAAAACTATTCTCAAATGAACTCTAGCCCCTGTCAGGCCCCTTGGAGGGGAACCCCCGGGGTTTTTCAGAAGCAACAAAATTTCCTTCGCTTATCTCAGCTGTAGCTCAATAAAAACTAAGCTATCAGGGATTAATAACGCCTTCAATCAGCGGCCAATTCTTAACCCAACCTCGACAACACGAGATTAGAATCGCTGTAACTGTCACGATTGCGATAAGATAAAAGTTAATCTGATCAGATTTCTCAATGCCACCCAGACCAAAACAACCCGTCTGGGCCCGATTTCGCCGGCTCAAAGGGTTTTACGGGCCATAAAGCAGACAAGCGTCTCCCATGGGACCATCTCGCGTTTTCCAACGTCACTCCCAGCCCGTTTACAGCACAATCGGGATGGTTTCGTGAGAGCTGTCAGTCATCATCATGGTTCCTTATAGACAGCTCTGAAAAAATAGAGGACCGCAGAGTCGAAAAATGGCCACCAAAATACTCCGTGGAGAATATCCTTGAGTTCAAGAGCCATCGCCCTCCTACCACCCTACCAGTCAACCCTCAACATGCCCTAACCCCTCACACCATTCCATTTCAATGAGTCTTTCGGTGAAAATGACGCGCGCGCGCACAGGTGTACAAACGTCGGACGGGAAGTGAAAGCGGGTTTCATTCATGCGATCCACACGCCAACAGAAAAAAAACAAGGTCATACACTCGGCCTCTTTTCGCGCCCCCGTCACTCGACCATCGGCGGCGGACGGCTGGCGGCGGGTCGTTGTGCAATTAGGGAAGATACGTTGCGCGCGGGTGGAGATGGGTGGGCGCGCGCGCGGAAGTGAAAGTCTCGCCGGCCGATGAACGCGCCACCATTGTGTGATAGCTGCGTGAAGGCCAGGCTATACCCCAATCAATCAATCAATCAATCAATCGAACTATGAACCAAAGCAACCAAACATGAGGAAAAAATGGAAATATTTACATACTAATCGAAAAAAGGATAAAAATAAACCCTTCAAAGTAAACAAAACGTGTTGCACGTACCGAAACACCGTCGGATCCGGCTCTATTCGTGACGTCTTCAACGGGGCTGGCGAAGGCGTCTGACTGGCGCCGCGTTTCAGTGGCGCCGTGCCACTGTCCGCCAACACGCCAGGACTTTTCATTTTACGGCCGCGTGAGGCCTTTGCTAGTTTCTGAAACAAGGGAAAAAATGAGTATCACAATTTCAACATCAATCAATAAATGGTAAAGAAATCGATATCGACGACAAGATGATGGCGAGAAATGGACGAAGAGAGTGGGGTTAGGGGAAGAAGAGACGAAAGGAGAAGTGTCGAAAACGACGGATGCAAGCGAAAAGCGCAGGAAGAGCGCATAAGAAAGCTTGGCTTGCTGGCTTGATTGAGACAGAAGAAAAATAGCGGAAAGACGGCGATGCGCAACTAATGGGACTTGTCTTGCATATGGAAGAAGCTAAGACGGATAGAAATTGAGAAGGGATGGTTTACGTATGAACGGTTGATAAAACGGGGAAACGGGGGCGATGACACATCTCCGCGGCTGAACCAGCCATTTGTAAGCAGAGCAGAACAGAAGAAATACTGAGGTTTAAAAGTGCTCAGTAAAGAGAACGTAACGGAGGGATAGACAGTACGACGGTAGCGGCTGCCGTTTATTCTTTCGCTATGCGCCACGCACTCGACATCCTTTCGGAATTGTGGAGGCATTTGAATGCTTCCTACACAAATAAACACAGATCTAGGCAATTTTGAAAGCTTCTAGACAAGTCTGAAAAGATTCAGCTAATCGGAAAGGTAGGCTGTGGACAAGATCAGATAATCGAAGCTACACAATATAGCGCTTATCAGCACTGTACGGCGCAATGTGGCGCTTCCAAGCTTGCTTCTTATACAAGAGATCCCAAATGGGAAGCTAACGAAGAGGGGAAAATCGAATATGAAGAGAGCTCCACAGAGGTAGCCCCTCCCTCCCACTCCCAACATCGGCTGTTCAACAACACCAATCTGGGAGAGAGAGATTTAAAAAAGCTACCAGTAGAGGAGTGCCTTTTCAAACATACACTCCAATTCAATTAAAAATCATATTATTGAAATTATATCCATACGTCAAAATCGTCAGAATAACAACGTGTTTTGACAGTGTTTTCCATTGAACACAGTATGATTTTTCACACCACAAAAAGTGGGAGAATCGCGCTCGTTCAGCGGATTCGATTCTCATTAACGACCAACACCACCACCACCACACACTCATTCTCATCGGCATAGAATCCGATTTCTAGTTCAGTTCTCTCATCGACCACTTTTGATGCCGATCTACAACGACAACGAGATGCGATCTAGCTGAAATCGTGGCGCGGCGCGACACTTCTTTCCTTTTATAGCTATCTATCTCTCTCGAACCAGAACGATCGTCTTTAGGCAGAAGAAAGCGCCACGGAGAGAACGATCGATCGCGCTTATGCTATCTAGACTAATCTGTACCTGTTCCATCCCCAAACACGGCCAGATCTCGGCTCGTTACGAAAACCTCGCAAGTGACGGTGGAGAGATGTTAGAAAGTCCAAAAGATAAATCGGCTGCACTTCAGGCTAGAATCAAGCAGTAATTTCATATCAAAACCTTACTTGAACATTTCCAAGAAGGGGGGGGGGGAAGAGAAGAAGGAAGTAGAGCAACCCATCCACCATGTTAACCTTTCTCTCGTACCTCTACATCTAGAGATACCAGGGGCCGGATTCAATCCTGGGATAGCTCCTAATTAAAGGGGTTGTGAGGCGAATCCCTTCGAATTGTTTGTTTTTAACGGTATAGTTTCTTCATTTTGAGTGAATGTTTACTCTGACCTATATACATACATAAACGTAGGGCTTTATCAGGAATCCCAGTTGGGAAAACAGAAAATTCAAAGAGACTGCCAATCACTTGGGGGAGGATTTAACCGGCTCCAGATGGGTAGCCAGTTTAAAAGGTAGAGTGGCGACGTGTTATGGGTAAGATCAAGCGTGAGTCTCGAGGCTTGATAATCCTCCCCTAGATCGGAATGAGATTTGGAACCAGGTCAGGAGACTCTCCCATAAATCGCGCATGGAGGAACGGCGTCAGTTCCAAACTAGCCATTATTGACAAAAAACTACTGTGAACGGTAATTTTTGTCCACAACGTCTGATTCCGAATCATCGTCATTGTACCATGCGGAGTTGCATTATGCACAAATATTGAGAGCCTGTGCCTTTAAGTAAACTATTCCAGGACACACAAATCCCTAGGTCCACCTCGAAAAAACACCCTGTCAATCATACTACCTTGACGGGGATCATCGCTCATCATTTGCTTTTTTTTCAAATCACGATAAATTTGCGCGGCAAAGGTCACTTCAGACCTCATCGATGCTGCACAGTCAATGAGCGAAAAAGCAATGAAACGTGAAGGTCGCCATTGATGGCGAGACATCCGCCGCCCGTACGGCGCGCAGACATTAGAAGAGCGCGTGCGCGACGGGCGGGCGATGTTTTTACAAAACTGAGAGAGGGCTCCTCCTTTTTCGATCATGAAACGAGGGGCGGCAATATTGCCCGCAAACGCCACCCGCTTCGGTCCGGCTGCATATCTTCCATACTGTGTGGTGAGAAGAAAAAACCGTGCCATTCATGTGGTTCTAAATGAGACAGAAACGTCGAGAACGGCAGCACGAAAACAACACCAGATGAAATGATTAAAGTACAAATCGCTCAAACTTCGTCCGATGATCGAACGTGCCGCGTTGTACGACACGACCGAACCGTCTTGCAAGTGCAGCGGGCAAACCCCGCCGACCGGCCGACGAACCGCAAGAACGGCCTTCAACGGCCGACCGTTCTCAATCACAATGGCAGCTTCATAAATAACCTTACAGCCATTGCGAAATGCATACATTACACATTTCTCTGTCGGCAGAAATTGTCCACTTACAAGAAAAGCCCCTACTTATACACTTCATGGGAAATTCCTCACGAGAACGTAATAATAGCCAATTGCCCTAGAATCATTATTTCCGAAACGGCTATAATAAGCTTTTATTATCGTGCAGCCGCATGCAATAAAGGTATTTCCCGAACGCACCTTTCCGGCCACATTTAGCCCCGATTCAAGCACTCGCTGCCATGCCACGCTGTCTGCACAGGGTGTCATGGTAACTGATTTCAACTCAGAGAAGAAAACACTGAAATATTCAACAGAGGCGCTTGCTAGAGACACTGCGGGGCGTATTTGGCATAGCTGTGCACGGATACAAAACCGCTTCCTCTAGCTAGGAAATGGCGGAAATAGGCTCGGACGGAAAACGATTCGATGGATTGCCGACGGAAATACTTCAATACGGCTTTCCACGAAGCCATTCCACCCCACTACCTCTTCCGCACCGAGCCTCGGCCGAGTGCGGCGCAGGAAATGCGATCCACTCCGAGTCGGGTCTACGACTCGTCGAGGCGCTATTCACTTTTTCCCCACACTAAACGTGAAGTGGACCAAACACAGACGTCTTCTGCAGACTTTTCGCCCACTACACTCTACTTGACGCCTAGTTCTGGGACTGCACGATTACACTGTTCGGGAAAGAATCTGGGGATGACTCGCGTCCTCGATCAAAGACCGAAACGACGTGTACAGCGCTGGTGTGTATGTTTTGAAGGCGTGACTGCTGTGTAATGTAATCGGGGAGGGAAGAGAAACAGAGCACGGAATTCTGCCCAGCCGACGGAGCGGCAGCCTTTGAAAACATCGCCCGTGTTAGACACGCAGAGGGTCCAGGAACAGAAATAGAATCCCTGATGATAAATCGCATGTTCCACTTGGTTCATGTATCAGAAGTAAACACTAAACTGCATTGACAGCTGAAAGCAAAAGAAATCGTTGAGAATTCCAGGAAAATCGATAGAAAAAAAACAAGGAGAACACTTCGAAGGGTGTTTCTCGTTTGGGTAAACAATTACCCTGTACGAAATAGAATACAGTTATAAATGTCCCGAAAACGGTACCGTATCTTAAAAAAGGATGACGGTAAAGAGTGCGATTGCCAGCAGAATGAATACACACGAGGAGACATACACACGCACACACACATACACATACACATCTCCCTGCGGAAGCGCGCTCGCGTAGGAGCGTGAGAAACGGCGCTGTGGGCGGGGCAGCGAGGCAGAGACCGACCGACGGACGGGGACGGGGACGGACGGAGCGAAGATGAAGTGAGAGCGAGAGTGCGACCGATTACGACAGCCTTCGAACGAGTGATGGATAACTGGGGAGAGAGAGATGAACAGGAGACGGAAAAGAAACAGACAAGGGGAAAGACCCCCAGAGAGAACACTACCCGCCGGACGCAGAGATCCGTATCGGGTCTTTATACAATTATTCGTGTATTTATTCAGCACACATACAGCTCTACACACATAGTGAAAGCGATCGCTAGTGTCACGCTAGAACGGAAATGGAGCACAAATAGATGACGTTACGGGGGGTATTTGGTTGAGGAAGGAAGATCGAAACATGAGACGAGGGGGGGGACGAGGGCCGAAATGTGGAGAAAGACGTTGGTTGACGCGGTGGCGAAAGTGGAGAGACACCAAAAACCGCCTTCAGCAAACATTTGCCAGATATCAGACACAACCTTCCTATTCCTCCACAAACAACACTTATCGCCATTATCAAAACCCAGCACTCTGTTTACCTACACCCTGACGGCCTGACCGCATTGCGTACCGCCCCATTAGGGATTGAAGGTGATAAGGCGAACGCGGCGATCGAGCGCTATCGCCAGCGCACACGGACGAAAAAGGAAGACACCAGGGACAGGGCTCGTACAGGAGACGACTGGACTGGAGACGACCAGTGGTCGCTTGCCATTTCTGACCAGTGGAAGAGATGGAAACACAGGAAGGGAGAAAAGGCGATAAGCAGCTCGTACAAGGTGCTTTTAAAGGAAACACCTCAACATTCATTGGCTTATCTATGCTATTTATGGGCCATACATTTAAAAGATGGCAATTTTTAATGGCATCGAAGGCTTCTGAAGCTTATATACGAATATTAACAGCGGGAATACACATTCCATTATGGAATGTTGAAGATGAAATGTTATTGTTAATGGATGGATGTTCTATTTAATATTCGTGCATGATTTTATCCAATAGTAACTGCTACAGAATGCCATCCAACCGATCGATTCCCCGTAGGTGTGACCAATCGCGTGCAGGCAAAAAAGCCACGTCTCTTATGCATGGCTTATGATATAGCATTGGTAAACTAGATCCCGAAAAGCAATTCAGGACGGAACAAGAACAGGTGGCTGTTCCTAGTAAAGACCAGATCCCGATCAGGAATTGTTCTCCACTAAAAACCTCCACTTCTGCACTTGTACTGGGCTTAGCCCATTTGGACTGACAGACCCAGCAAAAACAAGGAATGGAATCCGGGAAATGATTCAGCTTCAAAGTAGCAGGAAACGATTTCCAGGTCCAGGTGAACAAATTCCGATCGGGACAACTCTCGTTAGGCAATCATCTCATCTCTTCGAAAGCAGGATCGCAACCCCAGCTTAAACAGCAAAATAATAATGTGTTAGGCCTTTCTGATCCTTCCTAGACTAAAATGTTTGTACGTAATTAATACTCAGCTTAGTCAGACGATCCTCTCAAGACCGCTAAGCTCCAGCTCATCCCACTCCTTCTTCATACCAATAAGACTGATTACAAATTCATTTGCGTCATGTCATGCCTTCTTAATCACCAACTAAGGCCCCAGAAATCCCTGCCTCTGCTTAGAATAGACCTTGGACCGTTGTTGTTGTGGCAAATGAGAAGCGTCGAATGGCTACAAGTGCATGGGAAACTCGACAACACAAAGGCGGATTTTCCACAAAGTGCCATTTCTGCTCGAAGACACCCCCTTCACGTTTTTTATCGCACTGATTTCAAAAATCGAACGAATGCTTCGCATTTTACTGCACAATTGTGACATTCTGACGGATTGCTTGACTGTCCGCCTTCCTGTCAGGAGCAAAGTACATTCCGTACTAACACCACCAACAACAGCACAATGGCGCATCTCTCGTCCATGTTGACGAATTCATGAATAATTGAAGAATGTGGTGTGAGTGCAGCGAACAATTCTGGCTGGCTGGCTGGTTGGGTGCACAACACTGAGAGATAGCACGAGACGCAGACATCATGCCAACGAGCAGCACCACGGAGGACAGAGGGAATTCCGCCGTTGGAGAATCGTTCAGTATAACTACAGAGATGAAAG